GAGAAGGCTGCTGTGAAAGGGTTGGAAGAAAGGCCCCATGAAGTGAAGGCATGGGCTGACATGGGGGTCAAGCAGTATAAGGTCAGGAAGGAGATGGCCACCGAAGAAAGCAGGACCAGGGAGAGCACAACTGCGGCCCCCCAGACAGTGGGTGACCTGGATACTGGTGAGTTCCAGCAAGTGGAAAAGGCTTTGATGGCCAAGCCTGAAGAAAGGCAGGTGCTGCTTGGCAGCAAGAAGAACAAGCCTGAAAAGGCTACTGCTGAAGCAATGGAAGAAGAGCCTGAGAAGGCTGCACCAGCTGAAGAATACAAGGAAGCCTACAAAGGCTTGAAGAAGGCCATCAATGGCTTGAGCAGCTCCCTGGACAAGCTCAAGCTGTTGGTGCAGGCATGCCAAAATGCCAAAGAGCAGCAGCCTTCTCCACAGCTTGAGGCCAGCTGCACTGAGCTGGAAAGCCTGGAGAAAGGCTACAACAAGACTAAGTCTGACTTGCTCAAGGATCTGAGCATGTTCAAGGACACCTTGGACCAGCCTGAGAAAGGCTCTGCGTTGATCCAGCAGCTGCTGGACAAGAAGAAAGCCTGTGACGATGAAATCAAAAGCCTGAATAAGGCTGTGAATCCTCACAAGCTTTGGGCCAAGAATGCCGAGCTGATTTGAGGAGCAAGCCTGAAAAGGCTCCAAGGCAGTTTTGTTGAAACATGCAGTTTTGGTGAGAGAAGAACCGAAGTTGAGGCATGGCAAAAAGCCAGGGATGGGTCCTGACAACAGCACCATGAAAAATGTGAAAAAAACTTGGGAAGAGAGTGGGGCTGCAGGGGTGAGGGTTGAACCACTTTAAACACCATAAGACCATAAGGTAAAAATAAACCACCCCCAAGTTGTGGCATTCAAAACCCAAATTTCATTTGTTTGCCCACATCCTTGATCTTGCCAGTGATGGCAACCACCCCAAAGATTCTTGGAACTATAGAGATGAAACTATGGCAGGCACAGTCCAATCACTATCCTTTCGAAGGGGTGGTAAATTTCAGCCTGGGAAGGCTACTGAGAGTGAGTGAGTGAGCGAGTGAGTGAGAGAGCGAGCGAGTGAGAGTGAGTGAGTGAGTGAGTGAGTGAGAGTGAGTGAGAGTGAGTGAGAGTGAGTGAGAGTGAGTGAGAGTGAGTGAGAGTGAGTGAGAGTGAGTGAGAGTGAGTGAGAGTGAGAGTGAGTGAGAGTGAGTGAGAGTGAGGGAGAGTGAGGGAGAGTGAGTGAGTGAGAGTGAGTGAGAGTGAGTGAGAGTGAGTGAGAGTGAGTGAGAGTGAGTGAGAGTGAGTGAGAGTGAGTGAGAGTGAGTGAGAGTGAGTGAGAGTGAGTGGAGTGAGGGAGTGAGTGAGAGTGAGGGAGTGAGTGAGAGTGAGTGACGGAGTGAGGGAGTGAGGGAGTGAGGGAGTGAGTGAGTGAGGGTGAGTGAGTGAGTGACTGAGTGAGTGAGTGACTGAGTGAGTGAGTGAGCGAGGGAGTGAGGGAGTGAGGGAGTGAGGGAGTGAGGGAGTGAGGGAGTGAGGGAGTGAGGGAGTGAGGGAGTGAGGGAGTGAGGGAGTGAGTGTGAGTGAGTGAGTGAGTGAGTGAGTGGGTGAGAGTGAGGGAGTGAGTGAGAGTGAGTGAGTGAGTGAGTGAGTGAGTGGGTGAGAGTGAGTGAGTGAGTGAATGAGTGAATGAGTGAATGGGTGAGTGAGTGAGTGGATGAGTGAGTGAGTGACTGAGTGAGTGAGTGTGAGTGAGTGTGAGTGAGTGTGAGTGAGTGTGAGCACAGTGTCCCACGCCTGCCACCAGCAATGCACATTGTCCCACGCCTGCCACGCAAAAGAGGCAGAGACCCAGGGACGCCAGAGGGACGCCAGGGCGTCATCCGACCCCTTGGCAGTGCACATTGTCTCACGCCTGCCACGCAAAAGAAGCGGAGACCCAGGGACGCCAAGGGGGGACGCCAGCGCGTACATCCAACCCCTTGGCAGTGCACATTGTCCCACGCCTGCCACGCAAAAGAGGCGGAGACCCAGGGACGCCAGAGGGACGCCAGGGCGTACATCCGACCCCTTGGCAGTGCACATTGTCCCACGCCTGCCACGCAAAAGAGGCGGAGACCCAGGGACGCCAGAGGGACGCCAGGGCGTACATCCGACCCCTTGGCAGCGCGCATTGTCCCACGCCTGCCACGCAAAAGAGGCGGAGACCCAGGGACGCCAGAGGGACGCCAGGGCGTACATCCAACCCCTTGGCAGTGCACATTGTCCCACGCCTGCCACGCAAAAGAGGCGGAGACCCAGGGACGCCAGAGGGACGCCAGGGCGTACATCCGACCCCTTGGCAGTGCACATTGTCCCACGCCTGCCACGCAAAAGGCACCGGAATGTGTGTGTGTGTTTTTTTTTTGCTATGCTCCTTTTCGAATCCGAAACGGCGCTCGCCGTCAACCTCGTGATTTCACGGGCTGGTTCTCTCGTGAGAAACTGACATCCCTGGGCAGCAGTTGTCGGCTGATGCATCAGGCGGGAAAAGATGCTCAGCCCGTTGGTATTGTCCCGGAGAGTCACTGACTGCCTTCTGTTGGAGAAAAATACCAGCTGATGTTCAGGCATGTTTACGCCTCTGGGTCACCTTTGATGAAATCAGGTGCACCACGTTGGGCGGCATGGTGAAAAACTGAGCCTACGTTTTTTTTTTGTCGGCTTCTTTTGGTGGCCGTTTTTTTTCTGATCAACAAGCTATGGCCTAGTCACCCGGGGGTTACCCGAGGGCATGTATATGGCGGGGATAAACCAGCTGGGTCGCGGGTGCACAAAAGAAGGGGGGGTCGAAAGATCGCCGGCTAGGCAGTTGGCAAAATGCCAGAGGCAGTCATGGCAAAATGCCAGCATAAACTCACTCGAGGCAGGATCACCTCTGCAACTGGAGATTCGATTGTGCGGTCAAAACCTGGCTCTATCTCACATGGTAGGCGCCGTCTAGGCATGTATTCAGAACACTGCTGGAGTCAAAACTGAGTGTTCAGTATCTCGTGCTGCCGCAGGATGTGGTGAAACGAAGGTGAAACTAAATTCAGTGAGCCCCACTCCAAGCAACAAAATATTTTTAATATATTTTTTTGTTTTTGGCTTCTTGTGCCCACCCTTTTTTTTTCTGGGCTTCTTTTAGTGGCCCTTCATCAGGGGTGTCACTTGGGTGTTTCCCAAGGCATGCAAACAGCGGGGATAAACCAGCTGGGGTGCTGGGCGCACGTGCAAGGAGTTGGGGGGTACTGCCATAGTCGGATTTCTCAGGGTTGGCTGAATCTGCAGCATGAGTGGCTGATATGTGTCACCATGATCGTGTATGTACACATTTTCGCACTGCATCCAACGTCTCTGCCAAAGGCAGCTGCACGATGCAGGTGCCACCCAATGAACCAGCAAACTCGTGAACTCTGCTGAATCTGCCTGACCATGCTGGGCATCCCAGTTGGCCACCAGAGAGTGATACCATTCCTGGCCATCAATTTGAAAAAGGCCATCTGTATGGCGCAGCACTTCACAAAGTTGTGAGGCAGGTTCACCCCATTCCCCTACGGTAAAGTTGTGCCTGGAGAGACAGGCCCAAATGAGACACGTCACTGAGCAATTTGCGTAGCACATGCTGCCCGTGTTGTCATATGCCAGATTGAGGAGGGCTTGTTGGAGAGCATCTCGAGACATCAGGTCTCCTTCTTCAGTTTTCCTTTGTCGCGGCCTTTGTTCGGATTGTTGTTCAGCAGAGTCTCCAAGGCCTGCGCAGCTGGGAGTGCACCTTCTATGACACTCCGATCAATGTCCACAGAGTGGACTGCGTCCACTTCTCCAGCAGTTGCCAGACCTCGTTGTCTCTCAGTCCAATCTGCAGGATCCGTGGGAGTTGATCAGCTTCTTGGTGGAATGGCACCACTTCTGATACGGCCAGCTGCCATCTGCCTGGATCACTCCCTCCTGCTTGACGCGCACTGCTCTGGGAGAGCTTCACCAGTCTCTGCTGAAGTTCCAGGATCAGGCTCCTGAGGAGGTAGGTGCGCAGGTTGAGCCATTTCGGGTGCTCCGTCTCGGTGGCCTTCCAGTGTCTGCTGTGTCAGGACCGTCAGCGCACTGCCTGGGCTGGATTGGACGAACAAAACGAAGCATTCCTGTCGGTGTTGTAGCTGAAGCGCTTTGTCGTGCTGCAGCACCACTTGGGCCATCAATCTCACCAGACTCATGAGCGCCGGCTGCTGTTGCCCTGTGGCCTCTGCCGTCGGTGCCTGCATGGTGCTTCTGCTTGGCCTTTTTGGTCTGCAGTTCGTCTTCGTTTGTACGGAGGAATTGACTGGCCTGCAGCAGAAGAGGGCTCAGCTGGGCAAATGATTGAAGAAGCTCCGTGTCCGATTGGTCCAGCATGGGTTGGTCTGCCATGAGGCGGGAGCAGGATCAACGTAATCTGTTGCAAGACTGGGCAGTTTGAGGCAAGATGAATCTGCACCAAAGTTTCACATGCAGCTTGATCCATACCCTCTTCTGCTTGATGGTTGAAAATCAAACGGCAAAAATGGCACTGATAATCCTGTTTCAGTTCATCTTTCATGCACTGCAGCACCTGAAATCTGATTTGAGCCGCCCACTGACACTCCAAATGATGACACCGGAGTTGATGGGAGATCAGCTCAGCCGTATGATACCAGCCTCCACAGCAGATGCACCAGTTTCTGAACAGCTGCAAAAGTCTCGGTGCATGCCAGAGGTGACTGAAGTCCCGATCCATGAGCACATTGAGCAGCAATTGATACTGCGGTTGCTGGGCCCAGGCTTTGAGGCTTTGGTGGCCAGTCTCACCTCATCTTCGGAGTACCTCCAGGGGATCAGCAGTTCCATTTCACTGATGTGATAAATCATGGCCACCTGGTAAACCAAATTGCAGATGTGGGTACGTCCACGATCATTGGTATTGGGGTTGCAGAGGCATCCCGTTTTGGAAATCATCGTCTGCAACATGAACCTGACCATTTCACCTGCCTTTGTCCAGAGTGAACCATGCGTCTGCTGAAGGTGAGCACTGAGATCTGTGGAGCGCTGATAGTGCTCACCACATAGTTGGCAGTGCAGCGTGAATTGAAGCCTCTGGCAGCCTGGTGTGCCGTAAGCTCCTGTTTTGACAACGCAACTGAAACCATGGGCATCTCCCACTTCTGCACTGCATTCAATGGGGCACAAGTGGCTCCAGGATTGAAGTACGGACAACGTCCGTCCGTAATGTGCCTCCTGAGGCCAGCACTCGTCTCATAGACTTGTCCACAATGACTACAGCCATTGCTGGAAGGGATCGAGTCCCTAGCAGCGTTCCAGTCGTGGACAGGCACCTCATGAACTTCATGTAAGTGAGCATGCAAAAGGGCCATGGTTTCAAAGTCGGTGCTACAGATGTCACACCGCAGAGAATTGCCAGGTGTGTCCATGCAATGAAGCATCAGCGCAGCAAGCTGCGTGGCCACAGTGCAAGTGTGCCCTCTCTTGAAGGGCTTCTGGCAGAGGACACATGGGCTGTCCGTGGCAACCTTCTTGGTGATCTGCGCTGACTTGACAAAAATACCCGGTACCAGATCAGGATGGTGCAGCTGGTAATGGCAATGTAGCTCTTGACATCTATTGTTCCAGAGACCACACACCATGCATGTATGGGTCAAGTAAAGGCCAATGTTGGCATGCTGTTGCACAACAGAATAGTCCTGATTCCGAAGGATCTGCACCAGGACCGGCCAAAAAGGCTCGTGAATCACATGAAAATCTTCAGCCTCAGCCTTGCAGTGAGCTGCCCTTGAGGAGCTTGAAGGCGTAGGTCTGGTGTCTGCCTGGCAACAGTTTCGTTCAACATGGATGACAAAGCGTCGCCATGTTGTGAAAATTTTGTGACAATGACTGCATCGTGGTCGACCTCCCAAAGCCATCTGAAGGATGGTCTGTGGCACCGTACGATGTTGAGATTCCCCATGTTGTGTGGTGCAATGTCTACGCAGATTAGGAATTGTGTGATGCTGGCATGAGTATCGTACCTGGGGCACCAGTGTAGAGTCGGCATCACCCTCTATGGGCATAGCTGGGCTCTCTTCCTTCAAGGCATTGATCAACATCAACATGTCAGGCATGTGGGTCCAAAGGACATGATGCAAAAAATCCTGTTCAGCCAAGAGAATGTGGCGCCTTTGGATCCGTTGCCATAGCCCCGAAGCCATGCAAGAAAGCAGTTCCAAGGGCTGTGGTTGCTGATGGAGCTGTAATGCTTGTTGATGTGTATGGCCCGTCTTGTAGGAGTGATCCCCAATGACAATGTGCAACATCTGATAGACCGTAGCTTTACTCTTTCAGTGTTTGGACTGTGACATTGGTTGCAAAAATGCCATATGTCATGATGGTGTTGATATATGTCCTCCAAAAATAAAGTCGGTGTGCTAAATTGAGCCGTCGATGTCGTAGCCAGCATTTCAGTCTATGAAAAGCCATCCAACTGCATTTCTTGCGCTGTTGCCAAGTCTGCAGCTCAAATGCACCACAAGACATGACAGTACCCAAATAAGTGACCGTAGATCTCATCGGCAGGTCTGTTTTGGAGCCCTCGCCGCGCTGGATGACCGCCAGCATTTGTTGAGGAGTTCTTCGAACTCGTCCCTTAAGGGCAGATCTCGCATTGCTACCCGTAGATGCCATGATGACAAAGGTCTTCTGATATGAAAGTGTCAACTTGATCTTTTCGATACAGTCCAGCAGGTGGCCCATGCAACGTAGATGATTGTCAAGTTCACTGACCGATGTAAACTGGCAGCCTACGTGGATATCACCTGCATACAGCGTCATGCAGGCCGTGATCCATTCCTCCCCCGTGAGCGGGGCAAGCAGGCAGAGCAGTCGGCTCATGTACACTAGCCACAACAGAGGGGCAATTTTACAGCCTTGTCTTAGTCCGACTCCAACATCGACATGTGACACATCATGCGGAGAAACAAGATTATATCTAGTACCCTCATGCCAGTGCGTGATGATAGTAAGAAGGCTGTGGGGGGTATGGAGTTCATGAAGATGTTCAACCAAAATAGTTCTGTCAGCACTATCAAAAGCACGCGTTAAGTCCAAAAACATCTGGATACCACCTACCAGAGTGTATCTTGGTCTCATCAACATTTGCCTTGGGACAGTGCGGTGATTGGTACTTACCAATTCACGGATCAGAGCGCAATGATGGGAAACCCTGACAATTGCGTCAAGGGCTCCTCTCATTGGAAGGAATCCAAAACGCGGTGATTCACACAGGATGACTTCCAAATGCTGCTTGAGTTTCTCAGCTATCAGGCCCAGCACCAGTTTGCCAAAAGTTTCCATGAGTGAAATGGGACGGAGATGTTCAGGACTGTTACACTTTTTTCCCGGCTTGGGGATAAAATAGAGCCAAGCATCCTTCCAATCTTGGGGGATAAATGGGGAAATTGACCCCACCATGATAAAAGTAGCTTGTGAAGAAAACATGCAATCTGGGTTGGAGCCCCTTTCCAAATCACCGCAGGCAAAAAGGGCAGCGCCACTGATCGATTGGGGTTAAGCTTCACTACGGCCCTACTGATGTCGTCAACAGTGAACGGAACGCCCGGTGCACTCTCATAAAACTTTGGCAAATTCCGTGGTCCCTGCCATGTGCGTTGCACAAAGGCTATCAACATGGCATGAGTAGCATACTGATCCGCAATCTGTCCATCATCAGTTCTGAGTCGAATTTTGGTGACTGGTTTCTTGGGCGTAAATTGATTGATAATTTTGAACATGCCATGAGCATCATGTTTGGTTGCCGCTTCTCCAACAGCTTGGCAGAGATCAGACGTCGCTGTGCTGTGGCTATTCTGGCCTGTTTTTGCTGAGTGCGTTGTCTGCGACTGTATTGACTCCAGTGCAACCACACCTGAAAAAGGACTTGCAAGGATCTGGAGTCCTCTTGTCGGAGTCTTGCAATGCATCTGTGATGATGCCATTTGTTCCGTGTGGTTTCATGCAAAGCTGTGTAATCAATTGGTGGCAGCCTGGCAATCTTATCTGTGAAAAGCCTATGAAAATCTGGAATGACTTGGTCATGCAGGTTTCGAACGGCTTTTTCTGAGTCCATGACTGGCACCTGTTCGACAGCATCAATGATTACATCAGTCAGAGCACGCCAGTCGTCGTGATCCTGGAGTTGCGCCAGTCTGCACTGTGCCCTTTGAGCAAGGGTGCAGGCTCTTGGGGCCCTGGCCGTCTGATATTGCACTGGGATTTTTCGAATGCTACCAATGATTGGAATGTGATGTGTGGAGTTAATGGTGATGAATTCCGCATCAGGCAAGTGGGCAACCTGTTTGGCTCTACCATCACAAGTGCTGTGCCTAATCATGATACAATCAATTCTTGATGCAAAATCCCCATGTTGATATGTCGGTCCTGCTGATTCATTCCACGTGTTCAGAGCCACCAGCGCATGATCAGCCATGAGCTTCTGGAGCATTTCTGCGTCTCGATGTTGGAAGCCAAAGTGTCTCTGTCCCTTCCACCTGAATCCACTGGAGCCACACCAAGGTACTTTACGGGGTAAGGCACACTTGAAGTCTCCATTGCAGATAAGCTGATTCCTATTTGGCATGCGCTCTAAACAGGACTGCAAATGGTTCCAATACCTGTGACGATTGTCTGTGGTCTGCTTGGTTCGTTGATCTTCAAATTGGTAAAGTGCTATGACATCAGTGGATCTGTTGTGTCCATGCACTCGAACATGCAAGATGCGCCCTGGCAGTTCAACATGAAAACCAATATGATCTGGAAGAGCCCATTTCTTGGAAATCATTACCAAGATCCCACCTGTCTTTGGTTCTTCAGTAGAAGAATTCACATAAGCCCATTTGTCGTCACTCCAGCATGAAGTGAAGCTCCATCGAGTCTCTGATAAAATCACCAGATCGATGTTTTGTCGTTGAAGCCAATGTTTGAACTCGACAAAATGTCCCTGCGTCATTCCTCCTGGATTCCATTGAAGGATTTGCAATCGATGTTGATCTTTTGGAGATGGTGGTGATTGTCCTACCCATTCCTACCCTGTTGGGCTTGCACCGCATGGCACATGTCTGAATCAGCGACTGTGGAAAATCCTGTGGTGTGGCCATTCGACCATGATACCAGGTGTAGCCATTTTGAAGGGCCCGTGCACAGGCTCGTCTGTAACTCCGTTTCTGGACTGAGGTATAGTGTGCTACAGGGATGTGTTGACACGGACCGTAGTCCTCTGGTGGCGGGTGCCCGCAATTTGCTAATTGATGAAGCAAATCGGCATTGAAGTCAGGCGCTTCAGCTGCACTGGCGGTGGTGCAGCAACCCTCACCCTCACGTTTGCTGCTGATTGCAAAGTAGTGATCCAAGGTCTGTTGTCCAGCCTGAAGTCTTGGTATCATCGCAAACGTGCCCGGAATTGGGACCGGGGAGCGATCGTGAGCAATCCAGAAAAATTCAAGCAGCAGCCAAAAATTGAAAAATGAAATCATATCGTGTCCAGTTGTTGTAGGGAGAAGAAGTCAGTCCACAAGGGCGAACGTTGGCCAGCAGGTGGGTTGTGACTGTCGACACAATTGTGCAATCCAAAAATTGTAAAATGTCCGGGCCAGGAATAGAGAAGCAGGAGCCCACCCTGTTGTAAGTGAAAAATGTGGGGACAATCAGTAGTGGCGCCCCAAACCATGCTGTTGCAACTGGACCAGAACGCGTTCAAAGGGAGTCCACCCCTATGCAATAGCTACCACAGGGAACGGTAGAGTCTACGTGTCTCTACTCCTGCAGCTCCTCGCTGCTTGCTCGCGGTGCTCGTGACCGCACAGGGCTTGTGTGTGTGTGAGTGTGTGTGTGTGTGAGTGAGTGAGTGAGTGAGTGTGTGTGTGTGTGAGTGAGTGTGTTTGAGTGAGTGAGTGAGTGAGTGAGTGAGTGAGTGAGTGAGTGAGTGAGTGTGTGAGTGTGTGAGTGTGTGAGTGTGTGTGTGTGTGTGAGTGAGTGAGTGAGGGAGGGAGGGAGGGAGTGAGTGAGTGAGAGTGAGTGAGAGAGTGAGGGAGTGAGGGAGTGAGTGAGTGAGCGAGTGAGTGAGTGAGTGAGCGGGAAGGAGGAGCGGATACACCGCTAAAAACAGAAATACCACACGTCAATGTGGGGAAAAAATGGACAATGTGTCTTGGCGATGTCAAAGGTGCTTTCCTTGAAGCTGGTCCATTGGATGCCAAGTTTAAACCATTGTATGCCAGGCAACCAGCAGGTGGGATTCCAGGCATAGATCCAACAGCAGTAATCTGTGGTGCTAACGATGCCCCCTTGAACTGGTATCATACCTTTGGACCAGGCAGTCTGTGAGATAGGTTTCCAGCGTAGCCAATTTGACAATTGCCTCTAGTTCCTTCGTAATGAACAACAGGAGTTGGTAGCAGTAATGGGAGCACATGTGGATGACACCATAATAGGAGGTAGTGGTCCTGCGTATGAAAAGCCGTGAAACAGCTCCGAGCCAGCTTTCCGTATCGGAAGTGGGGAGTTGGCAGTGGAGAATTTTGTGGAGTTCACTATGCTCAGAACCCCCAAAGCTTTGAGATCACATACCAGCAATCGGAATATGCACGGCATCTCAGGCCTATCAACATGAGCCGAGAACGAGCTCGTCACAAAGAGGCTTTTGCTTCAGAAAAAGAAGTTGCAGCCTTGAGAGCAATCAATGGCGCTGCAAACTGGTTAGCAGGCCAAACACGTCCAGATCTCTGTGTTCAAACCTCACTGAGTCACCGGTGTATATCCTAGGCTTTGTTGATAGTCACCTACAACGGAATGAACCAAGCAAGCGGACCCCATTCTGTTGGAAATCGTACAAGCTTCCCAGGGTAGTGTCGTTAACACTGGGAGCAGAAGCCCAGAGCTCTTCAACTGCTTGCGCCATAGCTGAGTGGATGGCAATGGTTACAGAAGCAAGGCTTGGATCCTTCGATCTCAGAACCGTGTCAGCCATGCCTAAGGCTCCCATAATTTCCAATGTGAAGCCTGAGACCAGATCAATTACCGGAATCACAGATTGCAAATTATTCTTGGATCATCTGACCTCAATGACAAGTGC